GAATGGCCAGCTTAACATGTTCCCAAACTGAATATTGCTCTTCTCTTTCAAACCTACACCTCCTCCAGTCCAATCTACCTTAGTAAATGGCAATTTAATTCTTGCAATAGCTCAGATTTTTAGAAAAACCTTTAGAGTTATTCCCGACTTCTCTTTTTCTTCCACACTTTACATATGCTTTATCAGCAAATCCTATTGGCTTTGCCTTCAAAGTATATGTAGAATCTGACTACTTCTCACCATCTTTACTGTTAACACCGTCATCTGAGATCCACTATTTCTCTCCTATTTACTCTCCCTGTTTCTACTTTGTCCCCTACAGCTATCTTTTCACATGACATCCAGAGTAGCCGTATAAAAAATAAGACAAATCATATCACACCCCTGCTCACAACCCTACTTCTATCTTAGAATAAAGTCTAAACCCTTACAGTGGACTCTAAGACTCTCCTATAAATCTGTACAGCTTTTCTTCTCCATTACCTCTTTGAGCCTGTCATCTTCTATTTAGTCTTTTCCTTAACTCACTCTAGGCAATTTAACCCCTTTGTTGTCCCCTGAACATGATAGGCAAGTTTCTGCCTCAGGAAATTTCTACTTAACATTTTCTCAGCCTAGAATGCTTGTCCCCTAGATAGCTGAATGTATCTGTCCTCTACTTCCTATGGGTCTCTGTTCAAGGGTCATCATGTCCTGAGGTTCACTTCAGGTTCTTATTTCCTCATTTCATTAGTGCACTACAATGACAAAATCACTTTCCAATCCTTCCTATTCCCCTTCTCTGCTATATCTTTTTAATGCTCATTACCTTCTAACATACATTTTACTTCATTTGAGTACTATTTTTCTACTTGCTATAGAATATAATCTTCATGCAAATTGTGTCCTCAGTGTATAAAGCAGTACCTACCACATAGTGAGCACTTAACATTTATTTGTTTAATGAATTAATTCATCAATACATAACATCTGGGCTTTAGACAATGGTTCAATTATAGCCTATAGGCCTATTGCCTATTTTATAAACAATTTCATTAGAAAATGGCCATAATGATTTGTTTACATACAATCTTGTAGCTTCTTTTCAACTACAGAGTCAACTAGTTGTGACAGAAATCTGCAGCCTACATATCCTACATATTTACTATATGGTCCTTTAACAAAAATTTCATTGATCCTTGCTCTCAATTCATACAACTACTTGCTAGATATTGTTCTCTGGATAGCTTTCACAAATCTCAAATCCAAACTGCCCCAAACTGGGCAGTTCTCTATCTCCCCAGAACTTTCTCATTCTGTATTTTTTTTCAGGGAGATACCAGGGATTTAACCCAGGGGTGCTTAACCATTGAGACAAATCCCCAGCCCCTTTTTATATGTTATTTAGAGACAGAGTCTGACCATGTTGCTTGGGGCCTAGCTGAGTTGCTGAGGCTGAACTGTGAACTTCTGATCCTCCTGCCTCAGCCTCCTAAACTGCTTAGATTACAGGCATGCGCCATCATGCCCAGTACCTCATTCTGAAATTTTTACATGTAAGAAAGACAGCCCCATTTACTTAGCCTACCATGTCAGAATTTCAGGATTCAGAAATCTCCCTCTCCAACATCTTCTGCTTCCAATTATTAAGTCCTATGGTTTTTGCCTCCCTGTCCCTCTCTCAACTGCCCCTGATTCAGACTACTATTTCTTCCTCATAATATAGCATCACTGTCAAGAAAATTCTAAATATTTCAAATTCCTCAACCAAGCAGTTAAATGTTTTTAGAACCTTGTCCCTGTTTTCTTCATGTCCTGTTATTTGCTCCTAGTTCCACTTTATATTCCACTACGATGTTTTTAGGTTCTGGGGCTTTCTTCACATTGCATCATCTTGAAATTTCCTTTCCCTAAGTCTCTTTCTTTATACTTTTAGTATAGGTGATGTTTAATTTTAGGTGTCAACTTTAATGGATTAAGGAGTAGCTAGAAGCCTAAAAAATCATTAATTTGGGTGTGTCTGTAAGGGTGTTTCCAGAGGAGATTGGCTTGTGAGTCTGAGTGGACTAGGTGAGGAAGATCTGGCCTTAATGCAGGCAAGCATTATCCAATTGGCTGAAATCAGAGAAATATAAAAGGTCAATTGGTCGTTTTTTTCTGAAAGCTGGGCCAGCATTTTCTTCTGCTGCCTTGGACATGTGGTTTCTACATTCACTGGCCTTTGAACTTTAGGATTTACTCCAGGGCATCCAACTCTCCTCCACAGTCAGACTTTCAACTTCAGATGAGTCATACTATCAGCTTTCCTAGTTCTGAGGCCTTGGAATTTGGACTGAGCCATGCTACCAATATCTTAGGGCCTTCAGCATAAAGTGGACCTGTCATATATCTATATACATATTCTATTAGTTCTCTCTGAATAATCCTGACTAAAACACTATCATCTAATATAGGTGATGCTTCTCTTCAAGCACCTCTTCTGTATATTCCCAATAATACTACTGAACCAAAATGACTGGTGATAAAGCAGAAGCTAATGACTAAGTACCTTAACTCTTAACAAATCTAATTGGATTTAAATGTCACTTCTTATTAAAATATTTAAATTGATGCATAATAATTGTACATATTATTGGGGTAGACGGCAATAATTTGATACATGTATACAATATGTAATGATCCAATCAAGGTAATTAGCATTTTCATCTCTTTAAGCATTTATCATTTCTTATCATTGGGAGCCAAAAAATTCTTCTCTTTTACTTCTTTGAAACTGTCCAAATTATGAAACATACATATAGGAACATATTGCAGTGAACTGCACCTTTACATATATCTATAAACAACCAACTAAAATGAATGAATAGAAAACCACTAAAATAGAGGAAGGGGAATAGCAAAGAAAAGGGGAAGTAAAGAAGAAGCAATTGGGACTGAAATGGAACAAATTATATTTCATGCATGTATAATTATGTCAGAATGAACCCTATCATTATGTATAACACATTAATAATAACATAAAATATATAATATTGTGTAAACTATAACTACTCTATTGTGCTGTAGAACAACAGATCTTATTTGTGGTATCTAACTATATTCTGGTACAAGTTATTCAGCTCTTCCACTTATTAACTAAATAAAATTGTGCATGTGACCATCACATAGGCGGTATTTATTATCATCTACTCATTTTAGCTGAAAAAAATTACTATCAGAGAAGTCAAATAAGTTGTTTGAAATTGACACAGATAATATAGCAAAAAAGCACTGGGTTTGATCCTCAGCACCACATAAAATGAATAAATAAAATACAGGTATAAAAAAGTGTTGTGTCTGTTTAAAATATTTTTAAAAAAAGAATGCCAGTTGCTACTGAATATCCATTCTCTCCTTCTTTAAGTTGTGGCTGGGTAATCTACACCATAAAGACTATACCTCTCTGCCTCTCATCACTAAGTGTGACCATGAGATTCAATTCTGAAAAATGGTATATAAATGAAAGTGATATGTGTGACTTCCAAGTCATGGCCTTAAAGGAAAGGGCTATAACTTCTATTCCCTTTCTTTCCTTCTTCTTGACTGAAAAAATGTAGAATATATTCAATCAAGGTGATGAAAGCATCACCTCAGGGATTCCAGAGCACCAAGAAAGAACGAACCTGGGATCCTGAACCTGTGAAATCACCTTATAAGCTCTGTGCCATCTCCCTGAACTATTCTACAACCATGAAATAAACAACCCTCAGGTTAAAACACTGTATATATGTGTGTGTGTGGAATCTTATCAGCCCAGCCTTGGATATATGTGTCCTACCTAATGCAGCTAGCAAATGGCAATGCTTAGATTTGAACTATAGATAGACTTCATCAACATCCTCATCCTGTAGAAAAGTTTCTTATTGAATTAGGCTTCCCAATGATGGCACTGGCTGCTAAAAAGCTTAAAGCCAAATGTAGTCAAGTATACAAGACATGTCAATAAATATGACTTGTCCTAACCTGATTCTTGAGCTCATTTTCTGTCTCTCACTTTGTTTTACCTTTTTCATTTGATCCGATTATAATATATGCTACCTTGTATGTTAAATACTATATCAATATTGCTACCTTAAATTCTTTTAGAATGAGATGTGGTTTAAATAAGCATATATATTAATTTATGTAGGGTTTTCATAGAATTCAGGATCTGCTACCATGAAATATGTCACCTTGGCATTTGAGGGAATAACAGAAATAAGAAGGACTCTGAGATCGTTTCCTATACTTCTTCTCCAAAGTAGGCCACAAGTGAATCCTTAACATTCCTTTAAAGCAGGTCATGATAATTTTATTCCACAGGTACCCTCTGTATACCTTGAAGAAATGAACATCCTTATTCTTGAAGACCAAGAAGACAAAGAAGAACCTGTACAAAGTCCTTGCCAAGTTCCCCCTTCTATTACCATTAGATCATACCCATAAATCCTTAATCACATTTCTTCAAAACTATCAACTTCTTCATCAGACTTATTATAAAAATGCATAAGTTTACCTGTTTCTTTGGGTCTTCACTTCAGAAGGCTCCCAAGTCACATAAAACTTATTACATAAATTACAGAAAATGAGCTTTTCTCTTATTGATCTGTCTTTTGTTGTAGGGTTTCTCAGTCATGAACATAGTGATGGGTGAGAAACTATAACTATTCTCCCATACACTGTCATTGGTCATACCACTTTCATGCTTATCATCTCCTCTGTTTACATGTGCATCTCCATATTACACTGTAAACACCTTCAAGGCAGTGATTTTCTCTTCTTCAGTAACCTCAGCATTTAGCATAGTGCCTGATAATAAAATAGTGACATGCTCAAGCAATAGTTCCTGAAATTCCCAGGTCAAAATACTATTAAATGTCATTTTGTCACAATAGGATTTCCTTTCATTGTCAACTCAAGCCAAGAAGGAAGACACATCCTATATACAGCTGGGGAAATGTCAAGTGTTTAGAGAAATGATAGTAAGGATAGGAAACACATACCTTGCCAAAGTGCTCAATTAGGATTTCAACCACGATATTCTGAAATTTGATGTTCATCATGGCAGCCACAGTGTCCTCTTGAGCTCTCATCAGGGTGGGCCCAAAGATCACCCCCATGTTGGAAGGGGTCATGAGATTCTCTTTGCTGTGCTCACACACACTGCCAGAAGTAAAAGAAAATGTTGAACAAGATCTCCTCCAATACCCTCCTTATAACCAAGCCTGTTTTAATTGATCTAGAGGGAAAGAGAAGCTAAAAAGTGGAAGGAAATGACAGCCCAAAGTATAGATGGAAAGAAAGGATTCCAACGGAAATAACTCATCAAAAACATAAGATGGCATAGAATTAGGAGGCAAAGTGAGATATATCGAATTTAGTAAACAGTGCTAAAGGAGTTAAGAGTCAGGGAAATTTAAGACTAACTTAAAATATTTGGAGAGGCAAGAGAGAAGCAAGAGGACATTCAAGGCAAGAGGAACAACAAAGTACATGGAAAGAGCGTCTTCCCTTCTTTCTATTTAGTAATATGGCCCTTTCCTCATCCAAAGAAAAGTAAAAATCTGAAAAAGTTGAAAAGGATCCTTAAGACTATCCTTTCATCATCTTTCTCTTCACAGATGAAAAACGCCCAGAGAAGGAAAGGGATCTGCCTGAAGTCATGCAGTTAGCTATGGAGTAGATCCTGTAATCTCAGATTTTTGGGCCCTAGTCACTCTTGCTTAAATTTCCTTTAATGGTTGCCTATTACTTAAAGGAGAGGGCCAGCTGTGCTCACTGTGGCAGTTTAGGCTTTCTGTAACTTTCTCCCTATTTATAACCCATATGCACAGCCTAGACAATGATGTTGCCCTGGGTTCAAATCCCAACATGGGCGGACACTCACCAGCTCTGCACCAGGAAATGTTAACTCACTGTAACTTCTCTGAGCTTTAGGTTTCCCACTTGTTTAAATGCTACCTATTTCAGAGAGTTTTGACATAGAGCTAAATTGTTTCAGCATGGTACCACACACCCTAGAAATATCTGTTATTACCTCTCCATTCTAGGCAATGCTGACCATTGAAACTCTCATTAAATTGCTTAGATTAGAATTTTCTGGTTACCTCAGGTTGTTTCAGACAGACCTCAATATCTTTGCTGATGCCATTCCCTCTGCTTATAAAGTCCATCTTCCCCATATCTGAAGAATGTCAATTTATCCTTCCAGATTCACATTCAAGGGAAACATAGAGCACTGTCCTCAACTTAATTGATACCATGGACAAGCGGAGTTTTTATTGTTGTTGTTGTTGTTTACTTATCTCACTCTCCTATTCGGTTATAAACAACTTCCAAATGTGTTCCTGGTACAAATAATAAATTACTTTTGAAGGAACTCAGTTCCTCTAATGCTGTTCTAAATAGTACTGGAAGCAGCCAAATAAAAGGCATGCAGCCCTTTGGTCAGTTTGGCTATGGGGGTGGGGAGATTAAAATAAGGGACAGGCCAGCTGCCCACTCAAAACACTAATTTTCCAAACCCACCCAAGCTAAGAATTCTAAAAGACTGACTCATCAACCAGCAAGTTCTTGACACTAAGTGATAATAGAGGGGGACAGAATCCTTAGACAAATCTTAATGAAGTCTGTTAAGCCCCTGACAAAGGCTGGTTACCATTCAGATGATAATAAGCAGTAACCACTTAGGGACTTTGATATTGCAGGGCAGCTGATGGGTCCCTTTCAACAGCTTAAATACTTCTGCAATTAACCTTTATTTTTTAGTGACAGATTTTTTTTCAGATATTAAAATGGAAAAGTATTTCCATGCTGCCACCAAGTGATCTGGAATGGCTAAACCACTAGTGACAAAGCAAGAACACTGGCTTATCTCCTTTTTGAGAGCTCAGAAGGGCACTGATGTTTGTTCAATGTTCAGCAGTTCTCCAAATCATCAGAACTGCAAAACAGCAGAGTATTTTAGCTTTGAAGGCCATGTTCACTAGGGGCAAATTATTTAGTAAGATCACAGTTTGTGAATACAGGGCAAGGCAGGAGTTCACACCCACATTTGTTGGTCTCCAAACCTTAAGGTAGTCCCATGGCCTCCTGCTGCCTGCTTCTCTAGTTTCAAAGTTAGAAAAACCAAAGTTTCTGTGGGAGGCTTTTTAAAGCCAAAGCCACCTACTATTTCTCTGAAGGAGGTTCCTGGTGTCCCATTTAGGATACTCTTCCTTCTTTGCATTCTAATGAGACTTGGAAGACAAACTGTTCTTTTCATGTGTCATTTCCACCAAAGTTTCAGAACCACTGCTGTAGATCAAGTATCACCAAACTAAAGTACTCATTAAATCCAGCCCACCATCTATTTTGTCATACTTGTTTCATTGGAACACAGCTTTCATAGTGACTTAAATGGCTGCTTTCATGCTATAATGATGAAATTGAGTACTTGTGACAGAGGCCATATCATTCACAAGGCCTAAAATATGCGTTTTATGATCATTTACAGAAATATTTTTCATCCTCCGTTAGAGATTAAAGGAGTCAAAAACATTTCATCAAGCCAGGCACAGTGTTATGCACCTGTAATCCCATATACACAAGAGTCTGAGGCAGGAGAATCATAAGTTTGAGGTCAGTCCCAGCAACTTGGCAAGACTTTGTGTCAAAATGAAAAAAATTAAAAAGGACTGTGAATGTAGCTAAGTGGTACAGAGCTCCTGGATTCAATCCCCAGTAACACACACAAAAAAATCATTGCATCAGATTGTTATGTAGATATGCAATTTGGATCCTGATTCAAGAGGAAAATTAATATATTTGAGACCATTGGAAAATTGAACAGAGAATATTTGATGATATTTTAGAATTTTTATTCATTTCCAAATAATTTTATTATAGCTGTGTTCATAGTTATCTTTTTAAGACACAAAGTGATACATTTATAGATTATGAAATAATTCTGATGGATATTTTTTCAAAATAGTATGGGAGGAGGAGAAATGAATGGGGATATGGATAAAACAATACTGGAACTGTGTAAAAATAGTTAAAACTGGGTGATAGGCACATGAGAGTTCTTTGTATTGTTTCCTCTATTTTTCTACAGACATATTTGAAATCTTACATAATAAAATGTACTTCAAAAGGAAAGTAACAATGGGTGGGAGAGTGAATCAATGTCACAAATGAGCAGTCCCCTCCCCACCTAAGGATGGTGCCCTTTGTTCAGGGTAGACAGTTTTGGCTTTCTCTCTTGGTGTTATATTATCTATAATTTACTTTAATACTTAAACATAGTCTGTGCAATGTCCTGAACCTCATCAATGCCATCAATGGTAACCACAGCATTAATTTAGGTACCACTAAGAAAGTAAAATAATTTCATTGAGAAGTCATCATATTTTTGAAGACATTTTAAGTAGAAAATAAACTAAAAAATGAACTAATATAACTGAAATGACTACAATGTGAGCAGCTATTATCAAATTCATGCACGCAGAGACTATGATAATTACATCAAAACAGCTACCTGACAGTGATTTTAAGAAACCACTGATTCTAAGTTGCATCCAGAATTCTGAATTTGAAAAAGAAAAATATCCCTAGAACTGATGAAATTTGGTATAGGTTCTTAGTCTTATGTGTACTCTAGGACTGTTTAGTATTCTAATTATGAATACATACTTACATATTCTAAGGGTAACTAATCAGTACTTAAAGAGTACTGATTAAGTACTCTTTAAGCCAGAGCAACTACTATAAACTTTAGCTAACTTCATCTCCAATCAAATCCAAATCCCCATACCCATTATAACTTTAAATATCATGATAGATGGTAAAAATGATTTCTCAGTGCCAAGATGTGTTCAAGATATATGGATTGTGTGGGACTATTGTATAAAATCTCCCAGGCTTGCATGAACAGTGTAGTAAAATATAACCTTAATTGATCTTACATTAATTAGTAAGGTAGATTAAACAATATAATGTACTTCAGATGTGATGGAACATAAGGTACACATTGTCACCTAGGATTGATTCCAACAGAAAGATGGTTAGCTTGAATCCATCTTGCCTTTAGATAAAACCTGTACATTACAAGATATCCAGGCAATAGTGGAACAAGATAAAAAATAAGACAATGACAAAATCAGGCAAAAGTAGTTAACAGTTTGCAGGAAAACAGGTCTTGTCAACAACTCAATGTCATGAACAGGTGGTGGGGTGGACTGTACTTGATTAAAGTCATGAAAATTGACCACTAGTTCAGAAAACACTTATAATGTGTACTTTTGGTGTCCAGTCACTAAATGTTAATACTGTCTGGAAAAGTGGAAATTGTTGAACTGAAAAACATATGTTAAAGAATACCACAATATCATCTTGGTAAAAAAAATATATAAATATGTTGTGTACTCATATACACACACAGAGAAAGATTAGAAAGAATGTGTATTATATATGTCTGTGGTGATTATTCAATGCTGGAAGTAAAAAGTTTTTAGGTTTTGAAGTTCATTTTTGTTTTTGCTTTTCTGTATTTACTAATTTCTACAATGCACAGTATTGCTTATAAAATTACAGAAGTATTATTAAAAAATAAGAATCATCCAGTAAGCCTAACAGCCCACAATCATTAGGATGCTAGCCCCGTCCTAAGATTATGAAAGACTCTTGCATTTGCAGCATATCCTTTTATTGCCGGACTCCAAATTTGTCACTATATTATTATCTCATCTGCTTTGAGTGAAACTTTCATGGAAGCATCAGAGCATCTGAAAGGATGGGAAATGGGACTTCATTGAATTTACAGAACAGGCTGTACGACTCTTTGTGTATTGGCCTACTGATAAATACATGTATGAATGAGAAAATTAGTCCTGAGGCTTGCTTCTATTATAATATTCCACTAGTAGTGAGATTGCTGAGGAGGTGAGCCTTTAGTGTTCTCCTATCTCTGACTAATGGAAGTTACAGGCACCAAAAAGATCTGGATAATTGGGAACCACAAATTGGCTGAGGTCACTTTGCTTCTGCCTATTATTACTCTAGAAAACATGCTGGTGGTGGGTAAACATCATGAAGGCATAGCTATTATCATCATATAGATTATGAATGCAGCAATTGGCAGGAAGGATAATTATGTGCATTTTTAAAGTACATGAAGTTTCTTC